TTTTCGATTTCGTTTGTTATAAATGACAAAGGAAGAGAAGTACGTGGCGTATTTCAACAAGAGATTGGTAAAAGCCAAGAGTTCAATCCTTTTTCCTACTGTTGTCTGGCAGACTATTTCGGCCTCGACGTAAAAATCGTTGTTGGGAAAAAACCCATCAACTCCTTGTGGGGAAAAAAAACCCAGAGAGATTGTCTTGCGATTTTGTTCAACAAGTCAGAACCTCTGTGGTACACTCAACGAATGAAGATGATGAGAAATATCGCTAAAAACAACTGCGTAAGTCTCTGTGACTCTTATAAAGTTCTCCTGAAACAGGAAAATTTTTGAGGTTCCCGCTGCGCTGCCGAGACCTATGATCGCTTTTCGCGTAGCGGTGTGACGGCACTGGAGACAAATTAGAAATGGAGCGCTGTCCCGTTCTCTTTTAATGCCAAAACCGATGGAATCAGGGCACGCCCATCGTCTAGGATCATCAAGGGCGGGCGTCGTTCGGTCCAGAAAAAATTTTTAATAAGTCCGATTTTTCTTCGTTTGTAGGATGAAAAGGGAGGGTCGTATCTTGTCTCGCTTGGCGGAGAGAGTACTTTAGTGTTGGGGGGGGGCAGGAGTTTCGTATCTGGTTTTTGATTGGTGAAGAATTTTTTGATAGTTGATCTTTCCTGTTCACAGACGCTGTAAGGGAAGGTGTCGTGTTTGCCTTCTGAGGGAATTTCGCGGCGTTAGGAAGAAATTCTTCTGAGTCTTCCCTATTTTACATGTGCTATATCCTCCCCTCCCCCTCGCTCCACGGCCCAGTCGGAGGAGACTGGTGGGAGGAGAGGGGCAAGGAAGGCGACCAAAATTTCCAACTAATGGCGTGCCGTGGACGGAATGCTGGTGTTCAGGCGGACGGAATATGCACCGGTCAAAAGCTCTCCTTCGCATGCAGATTCATTCCCACCTACGATATTGCTGAGGAAGGCATAGATTAAGGTCAGTTCAGTTAATTCCGAAGGAAGGACTTTGATTTGCGCCCAAAAGACCACGTCGTGCAAAATTTTGGGAATGGCTTAACTCGAAGGCGATGATGGCAGATAATTTGGTGCTCGATCCAATATGCTAAGAGGGTGCTATATAATGCGGAAAAGAGCGAAAAACCGAAGTGAAGCAGTCAAAAACCTGCAAAAAAGCTTTTGTTCTAGGCTCACCAAAGCAGTTTTTCGGGGACGATGCATGTGCGTTGGCCGATCCTGCGCGAATATGCCCTAGGTTTGATAAGTCTGTAGTAGGTATTCATTAATCCATGACCGGCTGGTGTCAATCGTCTTCACTTTATATTGTAATGTACTTGCAATGGAAGCGAGTAGCGAAGCATGGAGCACGAGGTCCTGAATGACGGGGCGGCGGGCGCGTGGCCGTATGCTGCAGGCTTGACCGGGGGCGTATGAAGGGCACTTGGCTCGAAAAGGGTGGGCCAGCGCAGCGCAGCAGGGTCGCAAATTCTGTCCTTTCTAGGCGTGGGATTTATCGACGACTCATTGAGATTTCGTGGCCACCTCCTTTAGGCATTCCCAAAGGAGAGAAACGCTATGCGATTAGTACAGGCTGTTGATTGGGCGGAATGGCATGCATTGCTAGAAGATAAATGTTTTATTAACGCCCGTGAAACCGCTTGAAAAAAATTCAATAATCAGAAAACTTCTCCTACGGATCAACGATGGCACCTTCTCACAGGGGACAAATGCGCACGCCTATTGAATATCATAGTGCAACACTACCGTATATGCAATTCTATCCTTCTGCGTGCATTGGAAATAGGACACATGTTGGAATCAAAAAGGATACAAGAGGGGAAAACCAAAGGGAAGCTAAAGCTGCGTTCATACTTCGCGGGAGCGTCCACTAGCGTCTACGAGCTTGCGCCAGCGACCGCTAGCGTTCCGAGCGTCAGTGACTAGGAAAGTATAAGATATCGATGCTGTCTGCACCGTTCACACAGCGACCCGGGAATAGAGGTTGGTGGGGAGTTTAGGAGGGTAACGAACAGCTGGACTAAAGTTCGGGGATAACTGCGGTGTGCAACGCAACAAGTGCAAATGCGCTATACCGTGACAAGATTCAGTAATTCTGTGCTCAGGTCAGCTGTGCATGCGAATGCACATGCAGCAATTTCGACAGACGACAATCCGATGTTTAGCTACCCTCCTACGTCCACCTACTGCTCTAACTCGCGCTGAGATGCGGCTGGGTGGAACGCTGGTAGACGCTGCTAGACAGCTTCGAATATCTACTTAGTAGCGCTGGACGTCGCGGACAGCTCGACAACGTTAGTTGTCGCGGGACGCTGGTGGCATAGCGGCTGTCGCAAAGCATGAACGCAGCCTGAGAGACTACTGAACTTTATGGTAGTTTTACATATCTTGGGTTTCACTACCAGTCAGGTCTAGAAGACGAAGTTATCGATTATCACCCGAACATTCCCGGAAGGTACCGCAGGGAGCCAAAATCATGAAATATCACTACAGTTGCTCTCTGCTGCTGATCAGTTTTATTTAAAAGTCTTCAAAAAGTATATGGCACGGAAAAGAGGAAGCATAGGCGACTGAATTGACGTATCACGGCTTACACCTATGATTTCATCCTTGGGCGTGAGATGATATTATGTAACTCGCTCGACCGGTATCGTCCGAGATATTATGCGAGAAACCTGTTACCTTCCCGTGATAGATAGCCTGATGATATAAACTATATCGTCAAGGTGTCACGAAAAACGAGCTTTCATTAACGCTGATGATTAACGGCCCTATTGAAACGCCGACAACGATCAGCGAAACCTAGCGAGAAACTAGAAAAAGCACGCTATCGGATATTCTGTCAAATCTGTCCATCTGAATGCTGTCTAGTGGAGTGGTTTCAGATATTACCTGACAAAGTGATAAGCCTTACCAAAATTAAGGTACTCAAAAATTCAAAAATATGCTGATGTGATTTGATTTCCTTCTAAGGCTTTTCGAAGCTCCAAAACAGGACACGCCTGACGCTAGTGATAAAGGATAGTCTTTGCCGTCAATTGCTCCCTTTTGGGATGCGGCGTGCATTCTACTTCCATTCAGAATCGTAGTCTTATTGAATGCCATTTGGCCTATACAATGATTTGCCTGAGAACAGACAATAGGCAGATCAGTGATCCTATCCTCCCAGACCAATCCGGTACCAATGCACCGTCCCCTGAAAGTAGAAGGTTTGATTTGCCTGGGCGGGAGGCCTATCCGAGATGTGGTCCCGGAAGAACGCGAGCATGCACTCTTACTGCATCACTCCGCCTACGTGGGATAATTTTTTGGAAAATATAGGCCCTCCTCTGTAAACTTTTTCTTTGTTGGGCGAACTCCCCCCCCCTCACCCACCTACCTGCGATAGGAGTTGCCCACTACTATCTGTACTGCTTTCTGCTAAGCACGACCACCTTTCTCCCTTACCTAAAGAGGGTTGCGGTACGCCCCCCCCCGCACTCAAAAACATGAGTAAATGTTCGTGCGCATTCAGCAATTGCGCTGGAGCGTGCTATTCCGCGGTATCTTTCCAAAAGGAGGCCATGAACTCCAGGCAAGTACCCTCTTTTGAACATCCATAAGTTTTTGAGAGTGGAGCTCTGAGGAGAGGAAAACGGTATTCTGGAGGTATATGTTTGTAGTTTAGTAACTGTGTGTTTAGCGCATTCAAACACTTCCTTCTCGGAGAACTTTCCCCGCTGTGACGCCGTTGCTGCATTTCTTACGAGTTTTCTTGCTTTGAACAGCCGTAGCTTTCTTCATATGTGACCTCTTGCAGAACCAGGACCACTTTGGTAACCTAGAAGTCTTCCGCTTTCTAAGAGCTCCCCATTTTTCCCAGGCTCGGTCGTTATTTTAGAAAACTCTCTTTTTTGTTTTTACAGTTTCGGGCGACACGAACCGCGTCAGAACCACATCACCGGCTCAGTATCATTCCCAATTTGTTTCAATAATTGAGTAAGCTCCCAGAAAGCATATTTTTCGTCGAAGTTGTCAGGAAACAGAGCCGATTCACATCGCCTCTGTATTCCACCATGCATCTGACTTCTACGCAGATGTGTTGGGAAGGTGTAACTCCCAAGTAAGGTTTCCTCCTGCAAGCAGATGGGCTCGTCTAGAATTGCTCGAGCGTGTACTACGCAAAAGGCCACCATTCTTGTTCTCCCGTTTCCAGTTCTTAGCTTCCAGCAGCCTCTGTCACCAGGCGTCTCTTCAGTTGTTTTTCAGAACAAGAATTACGAACAAATTTCATACCATTCAATGATTGTACAACATAATATCTGAGTATCGCTCTGCTTCCCACCAAGGAATCGCCTCTGTATTCCACCAAGCAGAGACGTGCGCTTGGGAGCCACCGTCCTTCGTGGTCAAATGACCCCCCCCCTTTTGATTTTCATGACGATGATGTGCCCTGGCCTGAACTCTGGTTTATCCGCAAAATTCCTTCAACAACACCTGATAAGTTCGTAACGGGTTAAGTTGTCAGCAAGCCCCAGTACTGTTGTCGTCTCTTTGCGTTCTGGACCAAGGACCAGGATCTCGCGGTGGACTCTTTCATCTACCTAATGGGGAGAATGACCTTATAGTTCTGTCACAATGAAGGTCCCGGTTCTTATTTCTCTCACAAAACCTACTTGCAGCCTATTCGCTCGCCCTCGTTCTGTGTATTTCTTTCCCTCTGAGTTTTGTCCTCATTTTTACAGCGCTATTTCCTTCTTTTTTCGAATTTAATTGCTTAGTTCCCTGGCACACCCTATTCAAATGCTTAGTTCTCTGGCACACCCTCAAGTGTTCTCAAATAAATACCCGCTCCACATAAGTTCAATCGCCCAGTCAAAATCATTACCAAATCTGACTGATGATGAGACAAATCTGACCAAAACAGAGACGAGAGACGCAATTTTATTTATATCGGAAACATAAATAAATGATTGAGCATCTACAAAAACACGGTTTAGACTGAGATCAGTCCCTGTTAGCGAGGTTCACTCGGAGTTGTCGTCCTTTGAAATCAGCCCCATTGAGTCTGTTCATAGCGTTTTGTGCTCCAGCTTCATCAGCGAACTCGCAGAATGCGAAACCCTTGGCTCGTCCAGTTTCACGATCGTAAACCATTCTGCAAATAAAGTTTCACTATTTTTCGACGACATGAAAGAGTTCAATCATCAAGTAAATAACTAAATCAATTGTTGGCACTTCGTACAGCAGCTCACCTAACATTAGTCACTTGACCAGCTTGACTGAAAAAGTCTCCGATTTCCTGCTCGCTAGTCTGGTAAGGGAGATTTCCAACTGAAATAGACTTCAATAAACAATCAATAAAAAATGAATTCCAGTGTGAACCGCTGGACAAACAGGAATGGAAGATAGATAAACATAATTCTTCTTAGGCTAATAACTGAAATAATAGCTATTGTCAAAAGAGCACTACCGTTACACAGAGCCAGCCATACACCGAGAATCCCATGTTTCGTTGCGCTAGATGATTGGTAATTGAAGAGTAAGTTAGAGTTGAATGCTGCTGATAGACGGATCAGGAGGCTCCCCTTAATACATATGCGGACGCAGCTGGGGCGGGCGGGCCGCCCCTTTACGCCGGACGCATTTACCAAGCGATGATAAGGCGAGATCACTCGGTTATTATAAAAAAAAAAATATTACTCATCACCTGGGCTATGTCTTGCCAGGACATCAGAAATAATCGGTCTCTGGCCTTATGCAATAGGGAGTAACCTAACACAGTGAAAGCGGGGTGGAAGAGTAAGGGGACTTGAAACCTCTTTTTTGCTTTTATGCCTGATGTTTGGACCCTTTCGGAGCTTTTGGTCAACCATCCGTGACCCAGTGTTGTTATATTTCTCCCTATTTGTTTATTTTCGCACAATAGCCAGCTTTTTCATCTTGAATAAGAATTTAGTGTAACAGGGAAATAGCTAGGGGGATTTTATTTCCTTATTTTGCCGAAATGGTAAAGACTGAGCGATATATCTCGATTATCTGAGTCAATTTGTAGGATATCATACCACACAAAAATTAAAAAGGGGCGGACTTTTCATCGACTCAGAACTCGAAACAAACAAACAAAACATGCGCTCTCAATGGAGTATGAAGATCTGTCTCTTGTGGGGAAAACAGTGTACCTTCAGATAAATTCACTTCACCAGAATTTGTTTTCTATGGAACTTCAATTCTGGATTCGAAGTTGAAGACAACAGAGATCAGCGAATTTTAAAAAATTGGATTTCCTTCCCGCCGAAACCTTTTTAAAATACCCGGGTTCGTGAGGCCTACGTGTGCTGTTTTCAGAATTCTCAAGAAAACTAAAACTGTTTGTGCCTTGATAATTGCGCACTTCGATGATTTTGATCCATCGAGGTTTCTGACCTAGGTGCAGCGCAAGATGCCATGAAAACATATAAATAACTCCGAGAACCTCCACTTATATCAAATTAATATCCCACAGTAGATCCAACCAACCCTATTATAATAGTACATCTCTACCACAGATGTACGAGTGAAGAGTTGGAGCAGAAAGCTTTTCAGCGAGCCTTCTGGGATGACTTCTACCTTTATTAACAATCGTAGTGGCATTTCGAAATCAGAACGTCTGATCCGCACCGTCATCTATAGGATTATCTATTATACGATTTGAGGCTTCTATTCTCCGACACTCCTCACTTATTCTTCTAGAAGGCTTGGCTGGCTAAAACGGGAACTTATCTGAACCTTGACCTTCACTCTTGCCCCTGACAAACAGCATCACATGTCCAGAACATTGCCTTCGCCCAAAGTGTACGACAGATCTGTACACTACATACATACACTCTACCTTTACGAAATGGACAAAATATCCCGTCAAACTAGCTGGGATTGGAATCATACATGTTGGATTTCGTTTCATCGACAGGTTCCGAGCGTCCTTCACTGAACTCTGTTCTCTTCAACTTCAAATCGAAAATTGGAGTTTCATAAAGAATAAAGTTTTATGGAGTGAAACGATCTGAAGGTACACCTTTTTCCCCCAAAAGAGACAATTTTTCATACTCCATTAAGGCATATGTTTAGAGTTCTTGAGCTAGTTAGTGAAGTGAGTTAGAGAAGAGAAGAATTTCGGTTATTGTTACCTATTGGGTTGGCCTATAAGCTTAAGTAAGTTTTTCACCTCGAAATATCGCGGCTGAAGATGAAAAGTTTTGCCATTGAGTTTGCAAAGAATTCCTTGCCCTACACGACAGTCTTCTTAGTTTCTTGAAGTTTCTCTTTCCACTAATATTTAAGTGCTCAAACTGGAGTGTCAGGTCGAAGAAACTGAGCATTTTCGACAGCCTCTCTTTTTTTACCTCCAATTTGAAGCTAAAACCGCACAAGCCTATTAGTTAAGTATATGGCCAAGAAGCTAGGTCTCTTGGAAAGACTTTTGAGAAGGTTTCAGCGCGTTCGCAAAGATTCCATCTTCAATCTCTCAGGCAACCATGCCACTTATGCCCTACTGGAGAGAACTTGGAGCTTACTGCATTACCGGATAGATTCATACTAGGGATCATAGGGATCAGGACTCGTTACAGCGTCACGAAATGCCTTCCTTATTCAATCAAGGCATCACCCTCCACTGATTTTAGACGTTTGAAAATTAGTGGGTAGGTTCCGCAGGTAGTCACTCCCCAAGAGCCATCCCCACCCCCTCATGCAATGCACATATACAAGGTCTGACTCCCCCATCTCTTGATCGCTCGTACCAACTTCAAGCTGTCATAAGAAGCATCTTTCTTGGTCATGTATACCAGAAACTTTGAGCCTTTTCTGTGATTTGAGAGCCGAGATAAAGTGCAAAGAGTTGTTACCAAAAACACACTTTTGTATGGCCCGCACATTCCATTTCAGTGAAAAAAAAGTTAACAGAATTCAAGAAACAGTATGAAGGCAGTTACACCATCTTATAGAGCGAAAACTTATGAATGGAATGGCATGAAACACTTTGGAAACGATCCCACCTTTCATATAAGAATTTGTATAAGGAAAAAAAACGCCACTACTCATGGGTCAACCCAACAAAACTTTTATCTCCAATTTGCATACACTTTTCCTTCATGAAAGGTCGAAATTTCCCGTCAAACCAGCTGAAATCGGAATCATACATGTTGAATTTCGTTTTGTTGACTGGTTCCGTACCTCCCATATTGCCGCTACGAGGTTGTTGGGAAATTCACTGAACTCTCTGAACTGGTGTCTTCAACTTCAAATCCAAAATTTTTGAAGTACCATGGAAAACAAATTCTTATGGAGTGAAACTTGCTGAAGGTACACCTTTTTCCCCAAAAGAGACAGATCTTCATACTCCATTAGGGCGCATGTTTAGAGTTCTAAGTCGATGAAAAGTATCCTTTTTGATTTTTGAGTGGTATGATCCGATAAAAATTCAGAATTCAGATGATCGAGATATATCGCTCGGTCCTTTACCATTTCGGCAAAAAAAGGAAATAAAATCCCCCTAGCTATTTCCCTGTTACACTAAATTCTTATTCAGTTGAAAGCTGACTATTGTGCAAAAATAAACAAATAGGGGCCCATTCATTCATTCTCGCTTTCACTGCGTGAGCTTACTCTATTGCATGAGGCCAGAGACCAATTATTTTTGATGTCTTGGCAAGATATAGCCCAGGTGAAGTGTAAGATAACCCGAGGTGATATCCCTTATATCGCTTGGTAAATGAGTCCCGCGTAAAGGGGCGGCCCGCCCCGCCCTAGCCGTCCCATACTGTATTTAAGGGGCCCCTGCCTGCATCCTCTATCAGAGCATTCAACTCTACTTACTCTTCAATTATCAATCTATCTACCAACGAAACATGGGATCTCGTGGTGGTGCTGGCTGCTCTGTCTACGGTATGTCTCTCGACTTACTATTATTTCAGTTATTAGCCATAGAAGAATTATCTGTTTATCTATCTTCCATTCCTGTTTGTCTATGCGTTCACCTCGAATTATTTTTATTGATTGTTGATTGTTTATTGAAGTCTATTTCAGTTGGAAATCTCCCTTACCAGACTAGCGAGCAGGAAATCGGAGACTTTTTCAGTCAAGCTGGTCAAGTAACTAATGTTAGGTGAGTTGCTGTACGAATGCCAACAATTGATTTAGTTATTTACTTGATTGATTTTCATTTCTTTCATGCTGTCAAAATTAGTGAACTCTTATTTCAGAATGGTTTACGATCGTGAAACTGGACGAGCCAAGGGTTTCGCATTCTGCGAGTTCGCTGATGAAGCTGGAGCACAAAACGCTATGAACAGACTCAATGGGGCTGATTTCAAAGGACGACAACTCCGAGTGAACCTCGCTAACAGGGACTGATCTCAGTCTAAACCGTTTTTGTAGATGCTCAATCATTTATTTATGGTTTTCGAATAAAACTGAATTGCGTCTCTCGTCTCTGTTTTGGTCAGGTTTCTCTCAATCAGATTTGGTAAGATCTCGACTGGTCAATTCAAGTTATCTACGCTCAAGGTTGCCAGAGACACTCAGCTTAGAATTGAAAAAAAACCAAACATGAGAAAAAAAAAAACAAACATAGCGTTATAAAAATGAAGACAAATGTGAAGGGAAAGAAATACACAGAACGAGGGCGAGCGAAAAGTAAGAAATGAGAACTGGGGACGTTCCTTGTGACGGAACTATCTCTAACAAGATCACTCTCCCCACAAGGTGGATGAAAGAGGTCAAACGATAAATTCCTGGTCCTTACCATGAACTTGAAACAGGTGTTGTTGAAAGAATTTTATGGATAAAGCGGAGTTTCGGCCACGGCACATCGTTACGAAAATCGAAAGGGTCATTTGACCGCGGAAGAGGTAGGCTCATAAGCGCACGCTCCTTCGTAGGTGGGGAGCAAACCCATACTCAGATATTATGCTGAGAATAAGTAAAGAATTTTGTTCAAAACTGATCCTTCTATTCTATAAACCAGTAAGTTTGTGTGGCAGTTTGTATGTTTGTAAGCATGAGCCAGCAGCCGGATCTGAGCATGCGCAAGAAGAAGGAGGGGACGGTCCGACTGGAACACTGGGGCGTTTGTTCCAAGGTATGTTATAGGTTATGGCACAGGAATATGTGGGTGACAAAAACAGCTAGCTGCTGATAAGATTCGATAAGGGGAGCTAGATGGAAAGGTCAACACACTCATAACGCGGGACACAGCGCCAGTTGGCGTTGATTTCAGCAAATGATATCAAGGGGAAGGTGGA